CTCTCTCTCTCTCTCTCTCTCTCTCTCTCTCTCTCTCTCTCTCTCTCTCTTTCTGAGAGCGAGAGTTTATCTCTTTGTGTGTGTGTGTGTGTGTATATACTGTGAGGCCCACTTAACACCCATACATTAACCCAAAAAATTGTAACTTCTATTTCTAAAACATTAATAATCAAAGAAGTGACTCTTGTTGTCTCCATGCATGTGCATCATATGGGCTGCTTGCTCTAAATATATTTTTGTAATATTACTATGAGCAAAGAAATTGGAGCATGACTTTTAAATTCTCCTCTATATTCAGTCTTCCCTCCAGTTTTTCTTAAATCTCTCTTTAAACAAGATTTCTTATCAAAACAAAACTAAAACCTACTAAAAGAAAAAATCCATATCTCCATTGAAATTAAGATAGATATACCTACAACAATTAAAGCAAAACAAAAATTCCCATCATTAGAATAGGTAAATATGATGAAAAAAAAAAAGAAAAATAGTTATAATTGTAAAACATAAAATTAAATTTGACAAATTAAGTGACAATTATATAAGAAAGCATATGGATACAATGAAAATGCTAAATGGTTTAATAGTTGAATAACCAAAGTTAATATACTAGTTTCATTTAATTAAAAAATTCTAAAAAATCACTAGGTGGTCAAATCAACCAATTTATCAATAAAGTGGCTACTTTAATAAGAAAATTAACTCAAGTTCCTCCTCAAATTTTGTTAAAATCCTCCAAAATGTGCCCCGTTTGGGTTTGAGAACATGAATAAGCAGGGGCGTTTTGGTAATTTAGCCCATCAAACAAGTGGAAACAAATTATCAAAATGGCCAACTTGTTTGGATTCAAAACCCAGAACAAAATATTTTAATAAAAGAACACATGCTTCCATTTGGAAACTGGAACAAGGTTTCATCATCTGGCTAGATCATAAAAATGGAGCTAAATTACCAAAATACCTTTGCTTGTTCATGATTCTAAATCAAGAATAGGGGCACTTTTATTTTTTAACAAAATAATTGAGCAGATACTTGAGTGAAATGCTCTTTTTAAGTAACCAATTTGTTAACAAACTGGTTGATTTGACCATCTTTATGAATTTTTGAGGTGGTTTGACCATTTTAATGATAGTTTCTCAAACTTTGTCTCCAAAGAAAATTAGATTATAATTTCCCACACCTCAAAAGCCACTTTAGAAATGGGTGAGGAGCCATAAAAGTTCCATATCAGTCTCCTCCCATTAACAATCTCCCAAAAGAAATTTATTTGAAGTAACAATCTCCCAAAAGAAATTTATTTGAAGTCCAAAAATTCTCCAACTCTATTGCCACTACGCATATCAATAGAAAATTCCATTCACAACGTTCCTTCTATCATCACCAAAAGTTTTAGGTTTCACAAATGGATTAATGAGTTCATTGTAGCATGAACACTCAGGATTCAAATAACCAAGCTCAACAAGAAAACAACCACATAGTATAGTCCACCTTCCTTAGCGTCTTACTAGCAATTTACAAGATCTACTCATGAAACTTTTTTTTATTGTTACCGCACTAATCAATACTTTTCCACTCAATTTGAGCAATTAAGTGGGACTTTGCAATAGATTTCATATTCATCAAGCCATCAGAATCATCTTCACACTACTTTCAATCAAATGTGTTAGTGTTCAAGAAATGGTCTTATCCATTGATAGGTGAATACAGTTCGCAACTTATAAGATTAATTTCTACTGCCAGAACATAAAAAATCAAGTACATTTCATACAGTATAAAGTATTTGAAGTTATGATAGGGGTTATGCTATAATTTTGGATAATACCTTGCAATAGACACTGTAGAGGCTTTTTAAGCGGCTAGATAGAGTTACTTCCATTCCAGGAACATATCTGCAAAATCAAACACTACTGATAGTATATGAAGTACAACTCCAGCATATTAAGGTCTAGGATCGATTAAATAATGCAGAAACATGGGTAACAAACTAGGGCTGGTCACAAATGATGAGACAAACATACGAGGTTGATATGAGTAACTCTTGCTCAAGTCCCTCCTCACAAACAGCAAGAGATGCAAGTGCAATTCCAGTATCAGAAACAATTTTTGGTATTCCTTTAGGTGAATCCGAGCATCTTCTGAGGTTATCCAGAAAAAAAGAGCGCTTTCCTCTGTCAAGCAACAGATCAAATGGAAGTACAGCTTCTAAAAGATCCTGCAAATAAGGAATAATGTGACGGATATGCCTCTTCTGATTAAAGAGCGAATGAAATGGACCGACATAAGTACAAAATGAAATATACGAAACAAATTCAGGTGTCATCATATTTTTCTTTGATAGGTATAAGGATGGGGAGAGAGAAAATAAGATGTCCTCTATTACATGAATAGACAATTATGTAGCAAATTAAATATCAATTAGGACCATTAAGTGATTGAAGACTTCATTTCTTATTCTGTAACTTCGGCTATCAAAAATATTTTGTGGAAAATTAGAGTTAGAGACTCAGAATGTATCCTCATGCATTCCAGCATTCTCTGCAGGTACTTAATATATGCTTTTCAATTTTATGCACATATTTTCATGACTAGCAAATCTTCATAAGACTGCAAAAAGCAACAGAACTGAAACTTCCATCCATTCTTTCCTTGTACTACTTGTTCCTTCAGACAGAATGATCCATTTATGATGATAATCTGCCTTCAATTGCTATACAACTAAACATGGGGCCCAGAATCCTATACGTACCAAGATTTCCACTCATTCTCACCTTCATTCAACAAATATATTTTGGGTAGGAGCCGTTTTGAAATTTTGATCTGCCTGTTAGTTATTCCTTTTTTCAGTATTTTTCACAAGTAGCATATGTTTCCAGATTGCAAAGTGAAATAAAACCATATTATACCAAATCCTTCTTGGTGATATATGTCCCTTCAAAGTTCAAACAACAAATTATATAACAATATTGCATTCCTGTCTACATATCAGACGTAGAAGATACTAGAACTTGTCAGCGCTTCCCATCAGTTAAAGTAGAGAAGAAAACAGTTTGGTAGGATCTAGAGACAGAGAGAGAGAGAAAGGAAAGAAAATAAAGATGAAGAAGAAGAAGGGAGAGAGAGACAAAGACGTGTGACAGATAAAGAGAAAGAGAGGGCAAGTGAGTGGATCAGAGGTTACTAGTGACCTTTACCCCTCTTATAACATTAAGTACTAACCCTAATTACAACTTATAGACAATACTGCCTTTATTTAGAGATACAAGACAAATAAGGACTAAAAAAAAGATAAATGACAATTTTGTCCATCAAATACAATAATCCTTTTATTTCCAATACTCCCCCTCAAGTTGGTGCATAGATATCAATCATGCCCAACTTGTTTGTGATATCATATAATTATCCCGTCCAACGGCTTTTGGGATATGATCTTGGCAGCAACCTTCTCTCTGATAAAGTGACAATCTACTTCAATGTATTAAGTTTTTCATGAAAAACAGGATTTTCTGCGATATTAATGCTTGCTTCATTGTCCCAATATAGAGTGATGGGAAGCATAACTCTAACACCCAAATCAAAAAGAACACTTTTGATCCACATTACTTCGCATGTACCACGAGCCATTGCTTTGTATTCTGCTTTAACACTTGATCTTGGCACCACATTTTGTTTCTTACTTTTCTAAGTAACCAGGTTTCCCAAAACGAAGGTACAATAGCCAGTTGTGGATCTTCTATCAGTTTGGCAACTAACCCCAGTTAGCATCTGTGTAAACTACAACAGTAGGATGTCCTCGATTTGAGAAAAATATCCCTTTCCCTGGTGCAAACTTGAGATATCTTAATATTTTGTACATAGCATCGAGGTGGGGTTTACGTGGTGCATGCATAAATTGGCTGACCACACTAGCCTCCTAGGAAATGTCTGGTCAAGTGATTGTCAGATATATAAGCTTGCCCACTATTCGTTGATACTGATTAGGATCTCTGAGTAGTTTTCTCCTTTCTCCATGAAGTTTATGATTAACTTCTATAGGAGTATCTATAGGTCTATATCCCAACATCCCCATTTTTGTAACAAGGCCAACACATATTTTCTCTGGGAGATGACTATCCCTTTTTTTTTAATCTCACCACTTCAATTCCTAAAAAATACTTAAGGGTCCTGAAATCTTTGATATCAAACACCTTGCTTAAATAAGATTTAAGATCCTCCATGCTCTTCACATTATCCCTTGTCACAACAATATCATCAACATACACAATAAGGGCAGTAATTCCAACAGCATCCTTCTTCACAAAGAGTGTATGATCAGCTTGACTCCTTTTGAACCCAAATTTCAATAGTGCCTCACTGAATTATTTAAAACATGCTCTAGGAGGTGTGGCCATATAGATTTCTTCTGGGATGTCTCCACGTAATAATGCCTTCTTAATATTTAGCAGATGGAGTGGTTACAATTTATTTACAGCTAGTGAAAGAATGATCCTCAAAATGTTGAACTTCACCACAAGCACGAAAGCGTCTTGGTAATTTATACCAGCAGTCTAGGTGAAACCTTTTGCAACCAATCTTGCTTTATATCTTTCAATGGTACCATCAGCTTTGTATTTTATAGTGTTTTTCATGTATTATTCTGCTCAAGTGCTCACATCTCATCACCCATGGCAGCTTTCCATTGAGGTTGTGAAAGTCCTTCTCCAACATTGGAAGGTATTCTAAACGAAGACAAAGCAGAAATAAAGGCACGGTTGTTAGGGTTATGTGGCAATTTAAAGGCCTTACGAGAGCATGCACTGAAATTATTTATATGAGCTTTGACGAGCAATGGCTCAGGTTGATGTCTAAAACCCGTAGCCTTGACCATTTGTACACAACCGATAAAGGTTTCGATGTGGGGTCATCTCTTAATGAGGTCAAAGTTGTGCTTAGGGTTGTTGGCTAGGGGATTGGGTATGACCCATGTGAGCGATTGTTGGCTAGAGAGGACAAGAGCCAAATTCTAATCATTACCGTCATACAGCATGCATACTAGATAGTCATCTTGGAAGCAGCCCTCTGCGTAAGGGTTTACGTCGTGTACATGGCCTGAAGAGATGACTCCATGCAACACTAGATTGTGTTGGAAGGACCCATGAGGTATAGAGCTAGAATGGGTCATGGACTAGTCCTTGGGGAGGAATCTGTAATCCAAGGGCTAGGATCGTGTCTCCTTTATTTATAAACTAACTTTGATAGTCCAAACATGAACACTTGCAAAGGGCTGTTGGTCATGGGAACGATTGGTCAGTTTGAGAAGATGCGATGCAATGCGATGCGATGCAATTTCTAAAAAAGATGGAGTCCTCAGTATATTTGTTATATTCCTAATTCTTTTGATTCAATTCCCATCAAATCTTCTTAAATATGTTTAATTATGTTTTAATTATATTTTAGATAATTAAAATGAATTTTTAGACCTCTCTGAATATTTTATTTTATTGAAAAATAATTTTGAATAAGAAAAAAATCAAATTTTTAGATTTTTTATATTCAAAGAGAGAAAAATAATTATTGGTTTTATAACATTCCTTTTATTAATATAAAATATCATTTTGGGTGTGGGGGCCCATTAGAACTTTAAGCCCAACACATATGAGCCCCCACTAGTGGGCGTGGGGCCCACATGGCCCTCCATGAGTGGGCCGCCTGACTTCCTCTTCTGTCCATATTAGTGTGGCTTGTGAGGGAAGCCACCTATTTGAGAATCAATGAAAAGTGTTATGAAAAGGACTTGATTGATTTCAAATAAGTAACTATAGAGATTGATTGGAATTAGATTTGTAAAAACATAGTATTTTATCTACACAATTATTTGATGGGAATAGAGTTATGGAAACTGAGGTATGATGGTTCCACCTCATTCCTTTAATTATGATGGCTAATCTAAAGAATGAATAGTTAAGATCTCTTTACCCCACAGGTCTCCATGATCAAAGGTCAAGATGAAGTCTCATAATGATGGCAAAACCTTAGACCCTATAACCCTAGCCTCTATTTTATAAATACTCTCTATGGAGATCTATTCTTTACACACTTGTGACTAAGTGGCCTCTCTTTAACCCTAAAGGCAGGTATGCCCCTCTCTCTCTCTCTTATTTTCTAAGTTAGGGTTTCAATTTCATTAGAAGGTATAACCCTACAGGACACCCCCAAGCCTATGTGCATTATGTTTTGATTTGTATTGAGCCTTGGTCAAGTCCTATCCTACGTCATGCTCTCAAGAGGTTTTGACTAAGCTTCCAAAGTTATGAGACAAAGTTATACCAAGATCCTGTGTGCCATTGGTGGAGGAGACCTGGTGTGAGGCGTACGAAGTTCTTGAGGATAACGTGAGGCAAGGTATACGGTATTGATTTATTTCATGCTTTCTTGAATACATTCAAAGCGTTATGTAATTTTCATATTTATGTATTGAATGAGAATGTGTTTTGATGGTAAGAAAGTAAGAGTCCTTGGCATATTTTGTGGTTTTATTGGTTTATATATTGTATTTGGATACTTCTAAGTGATCCGGGTGGTAAAATAAAAAAATAAAAAAAAATTGTAATTAGTATATACTTGCCCAGGTCACATAGTCCTACTTTCAACGATGAGAGGGAGACAGAGAATTGTAGGATATGAAGTTTCCCATTGGATGTTGAGTACAAGAACGTGTACCCTTGCGAATAGCAATAGGTAAGTCTAAATTAGGATTCTCTGAGAGGGTGAAAGAATTACCTAGTTTAGGAATAGTTTCTGATTCCGAGTTAGCATTCGAGGTATAGTCGCTTAGAACTTCAGGTTATACCATTTCTTCCTCCTGGTATATGTTTTCAACTCCTTCTCTGAATGTGTACCATTCTTTAGAGATAAACCACTCTCTTTAGATAAAGGTGCTGTGGGAATAAGAAGGGGAACAGCTGATGCACTCTCTTCACTAAATTTTATCTTATTCTCTCCCAGAAGAGAGCACTCATGACCTACAGAGGAGAAGTATGGAACAGATTCAAAGAAAGTAACATCCATGGAGACATAGCGGACCTTGGTAATATGATCATAACACTTGAATCCATTTTGATGAGATGGATACCCCAAAAAATACATTTGGCAGCTTTAGCACCGAGATTGTCCCTCTTACCAAAGATGTGCATAAAACATATACAACCAAACCCCTTGGGAGGTACAAGGAACATCGGTTAGTTGGGATGAACAATTTCAGCGGGAGATTTTCCCTCAACAACATAAGAGGGCATGCGGCTTATTAAAAACGCAGCAGTGAGAACTACTTCAGACCAAAAAAAATTTGGAAATTTCATTCCCAATAAAAGAGCCCGGTGACTTCCAATAAGTGTATGTTTTTTCTCTTAACTATACCATTCTGCTTAGGTGTGTATGTTTGGAACTCAATCCCTTGATCAAGAAGATAATCTCTGAGTTTTTTTGACAATTCTCAGCCCCATTGTCAGACCGCAAGACTTTAATATGTGCATCATATTGACTTTTAACCATTTTGTGACAGATTTTGAATAGATTAGCAACTTCATCTTTGTGTTTCATTAGATAAATAGTTGCAAATCTAGAACAATCATCCACAAGTAACAAAGAAACGAACCAAACGCAGATGCAACAAGTGAAGGACCCCACGCATCAGAGTGTACAAGAGAGAAAGGACCATAACTCTTTTTATTGATACTGATAGGAAATGAAGTTCTACAATGTTTTCACAACTCACAAATTTCACATTGCAATTGAACTTGACCCAGAGACTCGAACAATTTAGGAACCAAAGAACGCAAAGTAAAAGACGAAGCATGACCAAGTCGGGTGTGCCACAAATACATCCTTTCTTTATTAGTAATTGATAATGTGGCTGCTGTAGTCAAGGAACAATCAAGAGTCTCCAAAAAGTACAACCCTCCATTTTCACGGCCATGCCCAAATGTCTTCCCAATCCTCAAGTCCTAGAATATATAGTCAGAAGAGAAAAAGGTTATACTGCAGTTTAAGGTCTTTGTGAGATTACTAACTGACACGAGGTTACTAGGAACATTGGGAACATGCAAGGTGGATGACAAGTTAACATAAGGAGTAACATGTATGGTTCCCTTTCCCTTGATTGGAATAAGAGAACCATCTGCTATTTTAATTGATTAATGACTAGAACAAGGGATATAAGAAAAGAAAAAATCAGTCGTACCCATCACATGCTCAATTGCTCCATAATCAATAATCCAAGGGGTTTCAGAGCTATTTGCAAAGATATGATACACTAATGCAGATATACCTAATTGTGCAATGTGAAACTTGAGGAGGAAGGGTCTCAAATGGAAGTCTGCTGCTTGAGATCTAGGAGCTCTCTTTTAGGAATAGTCACCAACTCTTCTTAAGGTTCAAAGGAGATGGTATCTTGTTGCCCTTGAGTAACTAGGGCAGTACTTTCACTAATTGTTACTGAATTTGCCTTTGGAAAATTTAGCCTTGGGGGTCCAACCAAATCCCAATATGTTTCCCTTGTGTGTCGAGTCTTCTCACAGTGGGTGCACTTTAATTTGTCCTTTTCATCAATGTAGGGTTTCCACGGCCACGTCCACCACCTCGGCCTCTACCACGGCTCCCAAAAATTCTCCACCTCGCTTACCATTAAAATTTTGAATAGGGCGGATATTAGTTTTACCCATAGACACTGCCATTATCTTACATCGAGTTTCTTCACACTGAAGATGGAAACACTACCAAGTGATGGCAAATTCTCGCCACCGAGAACATTTGCCCTAGTTGTTTCATATTCCATGAACTCCCCTCTAAAGATCAAAAATATTCCTTTGTTTCAGTCTCTCTTTGTTCCTTTGCACAAGAAGAAGACTGCTTGGGCTGATGCTGACTTAATTCATCCCAAAAACCACGTAGATGGGCATAATAGTCTCTCAGTGACAAATCACCATGTTTAAAATAACTGATTTGCTGCTCCAATTCATAAACCCTTGCAATATTTTTCTTTTGGGAATAAGACTCAGAAACTGCCTCCCATAATTCTTTAAGAGGTATTGTAATTCATAAAGGATCGACTCATATTAGGCTGTAAATAGTATCCAATTCATAATAGCCATATCTTCAGCTTCCTAGTATGCATATTTAGCATCCTTCAGATCAAGTTTTCCTACATGTCCATCAATGTATCCTAGTTTTTCTTTCTACCCAAAATAGCCTCACCTACTTGGCCCATTCTAAATAGTTGGTTCCATCAACCTGACTGTGATGATTTGGGGTCTAGATGACTCCATATTTGATGCATGTAGAGGCATTATCTACTGTAGTTAAGATCTGGTTACACCTCATATCTTGATCAACAATTGAGATCATCTTACACCCTTTGGCCTCTTCAAATAAAAGGTTTTACAAATCTAATTACACCCTCAGATCTGAGCACACACCCTTTTTTCTAGAAAAATATCAAAAAAAGCACTAACATTACTACTTTGATTGAGGCATACAAACTCCAATCCATCCAACAACTAGGTTTCTAAACAAATACTTGATAGACATCCAGCATCATGATAAAAAAAAAAACTCACCTACATTGGTACATATACTGCTGAAAAGAAAAAGTTAGGGTTATAGGGCATATGATGATGTCATCGAACCCCAAAGGATGATTTCAGCCCTAAACACAGTTCATGTGCACCTCTTTGAAGATCGACCCCCTGCTATAGTATAGTCCTAGAGTACAGCGCTACAATACCATCCTTACTGATCGTCTGACTCTAATACCAAGTTGAAACTAAAGTAGAGAAGAAAATAGTTTGGTCAGATCTAGAGAGAGAAAGAGAGGAAAGAAAATAAAGATGAAGAAAAAGAAGGGAGAGAGAGAGACATGTGAGATAGAGAGGGTAAGTGAATGGCTTAGAGGTCAACTGTGACCTACACCCATCTTATAACATTAAGTAATAACCCTAATTACAACCTATGGACAATATTGCTTTTATTTACAGACAAAGGTCAAATAAGGACTAAACAAAAGATAAATGACAGTTATGCCTCCCAAATACAATAAAGTTTATTCCTTTTATTTCCAATACCACTGATGTCTCTATCGTTAACATTAAGACCTCCATCTATTCTAAACATATTTTAGCATGACAAATATGCAAAACATTCCAATAAATATGTAACCTTCTAATGGTTTACTTTTGCAGGTTTTAGGTTTACACTATTGGATGAATAGATGGACCCAAAACAGGAAGCAAAATAGAACATGGAAATAGAGGTCACCTCTATCTAATTTGAAAAGAGATTTTTACTTAGCAGCTGCAGAAAGCTCTCAACAAGGCCTCAAGAAAAATTTGGCATGAGCAACTTGGTCATCTAGTTATCACGGCCATTTAAGAGTCACCATTTAATATTTCTTTTAAAGAATATTTATAAAGTTTTGCCATGCATAAAACAGAGCTACCAAATGGGGAAGCACTACCACTTTAAAATTTAATAGTAATTTTTTATTAGTAAAGAAAGTTTTATTTTTAAGAACATCTAATGAAGTGCATGATGCGGTCATGATGTCAAGGAGATGTCAAGGTGGCATCAAGTTGACTTGAAAAATCAGCCTCGACCAATACACATCACATTCTAAAATTTCATAATATATCTTTCGTTAGATGGTGGTGCTCTCAGATGTGGAGAACTTCACTCACTCTCTATTCCTGAATATATGATTTTCATGGGCAAATTCATCAGGCATATTTTTTTCTCCTCTTAGAAACACCAAAGTGCTCGACAGATTTACATTTTCAGTTTAAAATGGAGTTTTAGTCCAATGAATTTTAGGATTTTAGCCCCCCAAAACTCTTTGTGCTCATTTTCTCCATGAAAAAAAAACGTCAATACAAGATTTTTGAGATTTTTCTGAAGATCAAAAAATTTGCATGGCGGCCAGGGGACCAAGGCGGCCAGGGAACCAATCCAAAGGGAGGGCCTAGGCAGGGCCCTATTCAGAAAAGTATCGGGGCTACCGCCTAGGAGCCCTAGGGCTGCCTAGGTGGCTCAATTATATAGGCCCTCTGCCAGTGGCAAAATCCAAAATTTTTGCCCCCCAAAAAGGGGGAAACAGGGTATTAGGGGGGGATTTTAGCCCCCCCAAAACTCTTTGTGCTCATTTTCTCCATGAAAATATCCTCAATACAAAATTTTTTAGATTTTTTAGACTTGAGGTGGTTGCAAGAAAGGTCTATCAACAACCAAAGGTCACCAATTCAAGCCAATTTTGATTGGATTTTGAGAGGTAAGTGTAATTCATTTCTTGGTTTAAGGTTTGATGATATTTATAAATTGTAAATATTGGGTTTTTATTTGTTTCTTTTTTGTTCCGGATTATTGCTACTGTTTTTTTTTTTTTTTCCTTTTTCTTTTTGGCTTTGGATTTCGCCTCATTGAAGTGCAGTTTCATTTTGAGTTTTTCGACATTTTATTGGGATGGATTAACTCAATCCTAAAAGAATGTCAATAAACTCAAGCATACCACATTTTTCTATACTTTTATTAGTCCTTAGATTTCCAAAGATTGGAAATGGAAATTTTTTTTTTTTTTCTATTTTATGCCTCTTCTTAATTTTTGGATGATTTTGTTTTTAATATAATGTGGCATTAGTGACTTCTGCAATTTTCACTTATTCAAGCTCATTCAATTTCAAATTTCAAAATCTTGTATGCCTAAATTTGAACTACACAAGTAAATAGCACGCACAGAAAACTGTGAAAAAATGTTAATTAATAAAGATAAATGTTCTATTCACTCAATGAGGGGGTTTTAGTAACCAACAAGCCCACCAAATATAATCTTCACAAGCCTAGAGCCCTCCCCCTCTTTTATGTGCAGGTCACCAAGGTATCTGGGCACCCACCTATGTGTCTGAAATCGCCTTCTTGAACACAGTGTTTCATTAACCTTGAGATAATTTCGCAACATGAAAAGTAATGCTATCCAGAACTTGAAGATATAAAAGTTGATTACCTTCATATTTACCATATTGTCATCAGAATCAGCAGATTGATCTTGAGGAGCAAGAATCAAATTATTATAATGCACACTCACAAGAGAAGCATCTTTGGGTGTGATTCTCCTCAAATTTCTTGGCCTCTTGCTGGGGCTCCACATGGAAGCAAGCTCTGCTTGCATTCGGCGAAAAGTATATGGCTGAAACAGAAACCAAGGCATTAAGCATGACATCCTAGTCACTTAAATCACTTGAAGAAACAACATATGCTATAGCAACAATACAAGTGCATCTACATGCAGCCATGTATTAAGGCACCACAAAATCGACGTAACATGGTTCACACATCGTCAGTTTAATCATTATAGAAACACGTACTATGTTCAGATATAACAAAAGGCATATGCTACTAGCATCACACATGGGTGCTAAATTTATTTATGAAAAGAAAAGTTGGTTTTGTTGCGTTTGCAAATATATGCATTCAAGAATCATGTAAGACGTATGCGGTATGCATGTCTATATGTCACATACTACATGAAACAGTATATGTCGTGTACTACATCTCATTTAATGAGCATATAGAAGAATATCATTTTATTTTAAACAGCATGCTATGAGCTATGCACTAAATTATTAGCATATGCAAATGTAGGCATTACAGGCATACATATATGTAGATAATATACTATCAAAAAGTTAAGGATATGTTTGGGAAAAGCTCAGCGTCCATTAATTGGTCCAAATGGTTAAGAAAATGTTGGTGGTCAATGTACCACTACTGCCATTGGCTTTTGTGAATGGTCGGCTATTGAAAACACCGCTTCTTTTCCATGTTTTACAACTGGAAACAACAGACTTCGTGAGGCCCTCTGGTCCTTATCGTACTATATACAAAACAGACCCTGCTGGCAATCGAAGCCCAACAACTAGTATGCATTTTATTATGTATGCAATGGAGATATGAGTCATGTAGTTTTTCTTTTTATTTCCTGTTTTTGGAATTCCAAGGGAAAAAAAGAACTTGTTGGGTTGTAGTAATTCAATTTCCTTGTGCTTGGGATCAGGCCCAAATAAAGTTCAAATTTTTATATGTTGCACAATCAGTTATTTTTACCCATTGGGCCAAATATTCATCGAGAGTAGGAGCAATCTTAAAACAACAAAAGACAAGAATATGCAAAGAAATTTTCAAGATTATACCCCATTGACCTCTTTACAACAGCAAACAAGGACCTGAATGAACCTCCTCACGCAATACAAGAAATCCAGAGAATAGTGATCCAAAATAGTCTTACCCAAAGGATAAATAATGGAAAAAAATATATATTAAAATATTAATCTTTCCCTGTTGCAGTGAATATATCACATGATTTTTTTAGAGAAAAAGAAATCTAGGAACAAACTACTAAATCCAAAATACACAAATGTTTCCATAAACGAGAAAAACAGAAAATAGAAGTCATGGAAGGAAGTCCATCGAAAATTCTTTCTCAGCATTAAGAAATCAAGCATTAGATCTATGCTTAGTTTCATTAGAGCTCAAGTATTTTAAATGCACTCAACATTCGATAATCTGCCCAAATAAGTTGCAGTAAACATAATTGAGTACAACATCAACAGACCTTAAGGACAGCAAAACAAAGATCTTCCAGCTCAGCTTTTACAGCCCAAACCCCCAATCTAGAAGCAAGTGAGCACCATATGGCCAAAGTCTCATGTGCAACAGCCTGAGCCTTTGGAGGTGGCAGAGCATAGCTACAACATAAGACCACAAAATAGTGAACCGACAATTTAATTATTCCAATCAGCATTTCCAACAGCTCTGAGTAAGCAATTTGCATTCTACAAATACTACGAAAGATTAACAAATATCAATCATTTTACCTGGCTATAAAATAGAACATGTCCATGCAGATTACCAAGGAACTATGGAAAGCAATAGAAAAGGATATGAACTTCTATCAGTTAAAACATTAACTAGATATTGGACATGCATAAGTGAATACATCTCCATGGAGACCACATCAATTACTAAGTCCAATAAAACACTCTTTAAATACATATCTATGGAGACCACGTCAATTACTCAGTTCAATAAACCACTGCTTGGAGAGTAAAGTGAAGTCTCTGATTATTGTAATATGGAAAAGAGGGTTCTATATTTTGCTTTTATAAATATGGCCTAAAAATATTGTTCAGAATAACCAGAAGAAGTCAACAAAATACAAGCTATTCAAGCATGAAACAATTTCATGAACTAAGAAATGTGGCAACAAACCAAGTCCAATTACAAAAGGATTAGTCTTCTAAATATAACATCACTAGGCTTTCATTAGATTTAATAGTCAATTACAAACTAAGAGAGAAAGAGAATCTGCAAGAAAAAATATATACGAAAACTTCAAATCCACTTTTACCTGACCATGAAGCTTATAAAAGAATCACATGAAAGTAAAAACTAGCAACAAAAAGGTGCAAAACATTGGCAAAATTGAAAGAACATGTAAAATTTAGGTCTTTAAAGAGAGTGAAATTCTCATCAATAACATTTTCCCTTTGATCATTATGACAAATGGAGCACATATCTTTACAAGTGCCATTCCATTCTTTTCTTTTGGATGATAAATATAAGATTGAGTTGTTTGATCAAGACAATATGGCAAAGAGAATGACAACTATGTGGGTGGTCATTACATGGTCCGCATGTTATGCAAACGATCTGCAAGCTTGATGAGAACCACACGAAGGTCATCAACCATGCCCAAGAGCATCACCCGTAGACTATTTGCCTAAGAAAATTGGAAAAAAAGAATATATAAGCTACAAATGAAAAACTCATGTCAACATTTTGAACTACAGCAAGTACTAATAAAACAACAACACAACATAACAGCTTCTTCTATCAATCAAAGAGCACTCGTTTAATAGAGAGAGCACGAAAGCAGTTAATTAGATGAAATTTATATAATCAAATAGTTACAAATATTTGCAGCCTTACGTTTAGTGCTAATCCTTTGGGATGTACATGTAATGTAAAATAACAACCCAGGCTGGATGGAAAATTCCAGGAGGAAGGGGAAGAACCATTTAACTGACCTTCTTGTTTAGATAAAGTTTGACAACGTTAAATTTGCCACCACAAGAATGATCATATTCAACCACAGGCATCTTCAATAAAGTAAATACCAAGAAAATCCACTAACGTAATTGCTTAGGTAAGACAAGTAATACCTCTTCAGGACCCAAAGAATCACAGTTTACATTTGTCCTCCGATGCCTTCGCAACAACTGCAAGACAAAGATTTAGAATTGTATAGAAACTAGTACGCGAGCTTGGTAACTATATGCAAAGTACCAAATGACAGGATCATTCCTTAAAGTTCACAATTATTCATTAAAAATATAAACGGCACCATAACCCAATCAACTATGATAGGAGTCCACCTCAGCAACTTTATATCTTATAATCCTTAAAGGAAATGGTCAACAACACAAATTAATGTAAACTAATTGAAAGTTTGAACTTGAAAGGCCACACCAGTAAACGCAACATGAAAATAATAATATGTACATAGATATCTGCCAATAATTGTAATTTGGTTATGGGAATTAGTTACCAGTCAAAAAAGAAAACTATTCGCCTCGACACCATCTCAAAGCAATGCTACGTGACTCAAAACCAAGGTAGGAAGAGGAAATTGTTGTGATCCACAAAGTCATTAAACACTCCAGAAATTTAAGACAGGTAGCACTTTTGACTTTTCTTTATGGTCAGAGACAACATGTACTGCCCAATATGTTGTATGCAGGCATGTAAGCATGAGAATGCATACGTACGAGTGAATCTATGTATGACTCCATGTGCAAATGGCTGTGAGGCAAGGATGCATGTCCATATATACGCATGGATAAAGATATCCTTTCCTAACTAGTGAATAATTATGGTCAACCTAACCTGATTTATGTAACTTAATCTTGAAACACCAGCAACTAGCTTAGCAATATCATCACCAAATTCTTCTTCTACATTCCTAATGTTTTCTCCTGCATCATCTATGACATCATGGAGAATCCCCGCCACAACTGTATTCACAGCCTGTAAATATGAAGTCGTAATATTAGAGGTACAAGAATATAAAGGGACATCCCCCAGCAATGGCAGCAATTAAGGATTTCATCGCTGATAAATATATATTTAACTTTCATGCTTATCGTACGCGCTTCAAAAAAGCAAAACAGGCATAAAACAGAAGGACAAGGAAATAAAAAATCCAAATAATATTTTGAACAGGAGTACATACTCTATCTCCGCTTGCTGGAACCAAAGCTGCTAAAATTTTTCCAGTATGTATACAATGAGTCAGATAAGGCTCTCCCGTCTTCCTCATTTGACCATGATGTGCCTTCCTTGCAAAAGCAATAGCCTTTTGTACCTAGTTCAGTAAAAAGAATTGTTGTATTAAGATCAGCAATGACCTTAAAAGCCCAAAAAAATGTCACTAAAGCAAGGAAGATAAGCAAGGACAATAAAAGCCCAAAAAAATGTAACTAAAGCAAGGAAGAACATGAACCTTAGCATCATTAAAGATCAGATACCCCGTGACATCCACTCCATCCAATACAAGAGAATCTGCAAGTAGTTTACAAATCACTAAAATCCGGCCATGCCAGTTAAACACCAAAAAAGCAAGGTTCTGGATATGTCATTTAAACTATAGCATATCAAAACTATAGTCCAAGTATCAAAGCTAGATCCAACAAAAGCATTTTCTGATTAAAACCGACATAACAAAGCATGAAAACAGAAAAAACCTCCTCGTCATTTAAATTCATTTTTCAAGAGCAATTACCACAGAATTCGACAAGCATTCCATGTTAAGTAAAATTATAAACAAGAAAATATAAAAGGATAAGAAACATGAAAATGACATTGACTAGTGGATCAGGTGACATGTATTGAAGCAGGATCGACTGTACTGTAGAATGCACACGGAATACCAAAGCCAGCAAAACAGTTTGCCCCTTTACTAAACTCCTTGAGGACACATCGAGTATCTACTCGAAAGACATCAACAACATTTAGACACCAACTTGAGGTCAAAAGAAGAAGAATCAACATGATCACCTCGAGTGATGAAAGCATTCACCTCAACAAACAAAGCATCTGCATGATGAGCAATAACCAATATAAGCCAAAATCTAGACCCATCAACCTTATCCACTCTACATATATCAAGCCATAGTTAAGCTTCAATCCAAAGAAACTTTAGGACAGTTACCTATCGAGGTGGCCCTACAATGTGGCAGTTTAGGGTAACCTAACTCGTAAACCAATTTAATATCTGTCTCTTCCTAAAATCATCATCTGAGCAGCCATATTCCAAGTATTAGGGGTCGGCTTGTCTCTTCCTAAAATAAATACCTTTACTGGTAATGTTCATCCAAACTTGAATATTTTGGATGTACATAAAGAGAGATCCTTTCCTATTTTGAGGATTATTAATTTCAATGGAAAACGGCATCAGACATCATACCACTTCCATGCTAGCTTGGCCTGTCAAGTTACTCCTCTGGTACTTGACTCCACAGGGGTGGACAGGAAGCTAGGTGGAGTGGTAGCCTAGTCCCTAATCTAAAAAATTTAGAGTCTCATTTTTTGAAAAATATTATGCATTGTTTTCAAAAAAAAAAATATTATGCATTTTTACCATCTTGATATTTTAATTACTATGATGAAAAGGTTGTGCATGCCTCTTGCCATGTATCTAAATCTTCTTCACCTATGCTAAATGGCATCGGCAGAAGCATCAAAGCCAAAACAGTGAAGATTGAGAAAACTAAGAAATGGCATGAATGTCAAAATTACAAAACTCAAGTAGAGGTGAAAAAACAATTTACCATGCATGAACATCATCCAGCAGCTCATAGGAAATGGTTTTAATACTGATTTTATATTTGATCCTTGGCAAAAATGAGGGGTCGCTCTATGAGATATTTGGGAGTGATATTATAAGGGAGTTAGAACTTCGAAGGTGTTGACCATTTTTTCCATTGGATGGGAACTCATGGAGACTCCCTGAGAAAATTGACAGCTTGGAGACTAATATTTGAAAAGATTTCACTCCAGCTAAGCGAAGATAGACACTCATGGGTGTCTAATGGTTGTTATCCACATCAAAAACTGCTCATGAATTTATTAGAGAACACGAGGCCAAAGAACATACTTGATGTTATATGGAACAATGAAATACACCCTAGGGCCTTGTGGTTTACATGGATAGCTCCCAACCACCAATCGAGTACAAAATTGGGGATTCCATGGGTGCAATAGGTACTTCCTATGTAAGTCCGACTTTGAAGATCACAACAATCTGTTCATATGCCTTTGTTGGGGAGATTCGGCAGATTTAACACCAAGACCATAGTGGATGCAAGCATACAAAGTCCCCTAACTAAATGGATCGAAAAGAAATTTCATAACAAGACCATAGACAAGCTTTGGATGGCCTCTCCCCCCACTCTAATTTGGGTCATATGGCAAGAAAGATATTTGTCCGAAAATAGTATCCAAACGAAAACATAGCAACCCTGGGAGATGAAAAAGAAAGCCTAAGATATGAAAGATGGAGAATACAAATTCCCCAATTGTCGTTGAGAGATAGAACATACGTAGTGTGGTCTAAATGTATATACAAAGATAGAGGGAGACTTGAAATGAAGACCTTTGTAAACATTATGTATCACACAATGTCTACCTCACCTCTTGAAAATTTCTTCCATAATAATCCAACAAGTGGGGTAACGGCACAAACCACCTCTTGTGTAGCGAAAACAAAAAGAACGTCATCAATTGAATAGTCATGTATTACTCCTCAAACTCCACAGTTCAGAGCCAAAAGAACACTTTCTAAACCATACCTCAAGAGTGCTTCCCTTACCCCCACACCAGACCTCAAGGCAATTTAGCTATCCATAATTTTAAGACCTAATCAACATTTTGAATGTGCCTTCACCCTCTGAACCATTTGAATTTATAAAAATCTACCTCAAAGCTCAACAAACAAAGGCCTAAATAATCACTAAATTGGAACCCAAATATCCTGAGTTCCTAATAATTTCAGAATCCTGCAGCTCATCAATCAGAATTTGTCAATGATCGAATCAGAGACTTGACAAATTAAAACCAATATTGCCAAAATAAGCAAATACAACAGAAGAAATCAATGTTTTGGAAATCCCCTTGGTACTCAGGCCTTGGCCGAGGCAAGTAACTCGACCGAGTCCGAGTGGACTTGGGCCGAATAATGTACAACAAATAAAATAGGAAAAAAAATAAAAAATTACAAATAGTTAAAAATAAGAAAAACAAAATAAAAGAGGTAAAGCATTAGAAGACTAAAAAGATGAAAAAAATCTATAAAAGATGGATTACTAAAAAATTTGATTTAGATCTTGAATATTTCATAAAAATCTAAAAAAGGGAAAAATATGAAAGTTCCTAAATCATCTTGAAAACTACCACAATATCTAAAAACTTAATTCCAACTAATATAATGGTGTTTTCCCTTCCTTTGCATTTTTTTTCTGTCGTTTTATATTTTTTTACCTCTTTTATAAGGCTGGGGTGAGTTGCCATGGAACTCGACCCAACTCAGCCTTGGCCAGCAGAGTTATTCGGCTGAGTCCAAGCCTCGTAGCACTGTAAGAAAGCATTTCATTTCTCTTTTATTGCTCTGAAACTCATCAATAAACCCAATAAAAATCAGCTATCCATAATTGAAAAAATAGTCAACATTGTGAATGCACCCTCACCCTCTGAACCAGTTGAATTATCAAAAACAACCAGCGTTTCAAGACTTACAGACAAGAAGGCCCCAACATTGGAACCCACCAACATTGGAACCCAATTATCCTTGATTGTAATCGACGAAACCATGCACTCAACAATTAAACACCAACAACAACACATGAACAAACCCAACCACCTCAATCATTCGATTTTTCGTGAATTGCATCTAAAACTCAACACTCCAACGCATATTTAAAAAAATAAAACATGAGTAGTTGATCCTCCAATTTAGGCATTAAACATCAACAAAAACCCGAAGAAAAAAAAGAAAAAATGGCAATTGAATTACGAATAAGAACAAAGAGAACAGTAATCAATCTATGATACCTGGTTTCTCCTCAACTCTCGGCCACAAGAAATCAACTTTGGTTGAAAGACAGGCCCCTGATGCTATGGCAACAGCTGTGACTGCAACATGAGCAAGTGCTGACGCCACAGCCGAGTGAGCTGAGCCAGAAGCAACTGCAATCGCATTGCCAGTCGTCAAAACACATCTTGGAGCACCCCTCCTCTCCATTATGCTCCTTCGAAACCTTAACTGAGCTATAGTTTCCATCAAGGGATTGAAGAACAGCGCAGAGATAGGGTTCCCAAACCGTAATTGAGATTTGGAAGTCATTCCTATGGACCCTGAAACAGTTTCTGATAAAAAATTCATATTGTGTGGAGGCTTGAGAAACCTTAATTGAGATATTCACAGGGGAATCTTATGGTTCGCGGACCATTTTCTGAGAAGAAATTTATAGTTTTGAGAAGCTTGGATTGACGCATTGCTTTGCAGAGGTTTGATTGATACCCTAATTAAGATTTGCAGAGGATTATTCTCATATTATTGGATTGACTGGTGTCTGTTAAGAAATTCATGGCGTTTTCTTTTTTTTTTCAGATCCTCTGTTTCTACTCACATGTTTTATTACCATGGGATGATGCCTCTCATACCGAGGATGTATTCATATGATGCAATTTTTTGGAAATAAATAATTTGGGAGTATTTATGCTGTCTGTATTGCTTTTAGCGTCCAACTTTCAATTTTTATATTTACCCAAAAAAATAAAACTTTCAATTTTTATATTGTTTGATTCCTCATTTATTCTGTGCGTCTTCCCATTCCACGTGGTCCACCAGTTCCAAATCATCTAGCAAACTCGAAAATGGTCTTTTCTCTCTTCCCCTCCCGGTAGAACATCCACCACCGATTAGGGGTGGCAATGGATCGGCTATGGGTCGGATCCGGCTGGGCCCAAACTCATACTTTGGACCTGGATCCAACCCGTTGGATCCAAAAATTGAACCTATATTTGTACCCATTAGGCCTTGGGTCTACTCCATCCAATCTCGGGTCCATTGTTATCTTTACTGTGAGTTTTTTTTTTTTCGCCTTTTTTTTACTTTCATGTACCTATATTATTGACAACAAGGTCATAATCAACCGCTATTAAATTTCAAACCATGTGATTTGTCATTTAATAGCTAAAAATAACTATTAGTTCTAATTATAGACAATCCTTAATACACCCAAATGAATAGGGTTTAAAGTAAAGTATTTTCTCTCTAACAATTTACGGTTACAAGTTTAGCTGGACTCAGACCCAAACCCGTTTAGTGTTCGAGTCCAAATTTTGGATCTAGACCAGATCCACTAGGTCTGAATACTAGACCTATACCCAACCCATGTCGGGTATACTTGGGTTGGGTTCGTGTCCAATGCCATCCCTACTACCAATACTGCATTTACACTCCTTTCTCTCACATGAGAAAGGGGAAAATACATATGTCCCTTTCTTGTAATCATAATACCAAATAGGCTAGTAGTTTGGATACCTGGAAATATATTGTCTGTGAAATACATTATTAGCATAATACATTACCTGCAAATTGATTGTTACTGCTTGGGTAGTATTTAGATATAACTTGGTAAATATATTGCTATTGTTTGACTATGTATGGAATAAATATGAGAAATGCAGTATCAACATTTTACCAACACTTGCCTATAAACTATCATTTCTTTTTTTTTTGTCACAAAAATCCACTCTAATGCAAAATTAAAGTCATCAACCACACCATTCCAAAAAAAAATTATAATAATAACATTATCACTATTCCAAAAATATTTTATAATAATATCTTGTACCCTTCTAAAGTCATCATGACACAATTTCTTACTTATTTTGTATGCATTTGGCACTTACATAAGATCACATGTCTTTTAACGTGATTAGACTTTGGTTTCAACATAATAAGTCATTAGAATAATATGATTGGAATAATATGATTTTATTGTGATAAGCCTTA